CCAATCCTGATGCCACGTTTTTCTTTATATAACCCAGCTTCTCAGATTATTTGCTTAGGGTCACTATGAGGAACTGACTCGACGGCACTTAGTAATAACAACAAACATTAGTGATTGGTGCAGAAAAGAAAATTTCAGAAAACAGTGTCAAGTATTATAATGAAATGTGCAAAGACCTGGAGTTAGAAAACCAAAGGGGAGGAACACTCAGCATTTCTCAAGCTGAAAGAACTGAAGAAAAAATTCAAGACTCAGGTTGCAACATTAAAAGATTACATGGGCAAAATATTGAATGATGCAGAAAGCCTCAAAGGAAGATGGAAGGAATACAGTCAGTATACTAAAAAGAAATGGTTGATGTTCAGTCATTTGAAAAGGAACCATAAGATCAGAAATAGTACCGAAGGAAGAAGCCCAAGCTGCATTGAAGGCCTGGATGAAAAGGTTCCAGGAACTGATGGTTTCAAACAAATTGAAATGTTTCAATAAATTTGTACAACACTAGAGGCATGCACTGGTCTAAGTTAAGAAATTTGGAAGACAATTATCTGGCCAATTGGAGATCCACATGTGTGCCCATTTCAAAGAAGGTTGACCCAATGGAATGTGGAAATCATAGAACAATATCATTAATATCACCTACATTCAAAGCATTGCTGAAGATAATTCAAAATTGGTTGCTGCAGTAAGTACATTGTCAGAGAGCTGTTAGAAGTTCAAGCTGGATTCAGAATAGGATGTAGACTTAGGAATATTACTGCTGATTTCAGAGAATACAAGAAAGAGGTTTATTTGAGCTTTATCAGTGGCATTATGACAAAATATGGGTAATATTGAGAAGAATGGGTATTCCATACACTTAATTGTGCTCATGAGGAAACTGTACATAGAACAAAGAGGCAATCGTTAGAACAGAACAAGGGGATATGCAATGCTTTAAAATCAGAAAAGTGTGATGCAGTGTTGTATCCTTTCACCATACTTATTCAATCTGTATGATGAACAAATAATCCAAGAAACTGGATTACATGAAGAAGACATAGCATCAGAATCGGAGGAAGACTCATTAACAAACTATGATATGCATATGACACAGCCTTGCTTGCTGAAAGTGAAAAGGACTTACTGATGGCGATCAAAGACTACAGCTTTTCAGTATGGATTGCACCTCAATGTAAACAAAATAAAGATCCTCATGACTGGACCAATAAACAGAGAAAAGATTGAAGTTGCTGAAAACTTCATTTTGGTTAGATTCACAATCAATGCTCATGGAAGCAGCAGTCAGTAAATCAAACTACATATTGCATTAGGCAAATCTGCTACACAAGACCTCTTTAAAGTGTTAAGGAGCAAAGATGTCAATTTGAGGACTAAGGTATGACTGACCCAACCCATAGTCTTTGCAATGGTTTCATAGGCATGTGAAACTTAAACAATGAATAAGTATAGTCAAAGAAGAATTGATGCATTTGAATTATGGTATTGGAAAAGAATCTTGAAAGTATCATGGGCTGTCAGAAAAAAAAAAAAAATCTGTCTTGAAAGAAGTATAGCCAGAAAACTCCTTAGAAGTGAGGATGGTGAGACTTGGTCTTTCATACTTTTAACATATTGTCCAGAGGGACCAGTCCCTGGAGAAGGACCTCATGCTTAGAAAAGTGGCAGTTCATTGGAAAAAAGGAAGACCCCCAATGAGATGGATTGACAAAGTGTCAGCAACAATGGGCTCAAACATAACAATGTTGAGGATGGTACAGAACCAGGCAGTGTTTCATTCTATTGAGTACAGGGTCTGCTAGGAGTCAGAACCAACTCAAGACCACCTAATAACATCAGTAAATTCTTCAAATCTGCATCATTTTCAGCAAGCAAAGTTGTGTCCTCTGCATATAGGTTGCTAATGAATCTCCCTCTGACCCTGATGCTGCATTCTTCATATAATCCAGCTTCTTGGGTTATTTGCTCAGCATTTACCCTAAATAAGGATTCCCTGATTATTTTAAACCATGTAGTATCCTTTTGTGTTAGAACATCTGCTTCTTGTTCTATGTATATGTTCCATATGAGCACAATTAAGTATTCTGGAATTCTCATTCTTTACAATATTATCTATACTTTGTTATGACCACACAATCAAATGCTTATACAACCCAGAATTATACAACCTATGCCTTTTTTGACTGTTGCTCTTTCTATAACTTTGGTGGCAACACCATGAACTATGGCTAAGGCAAGGATCTGACTCTCTCTCTCCCCTTTTAATATATTCTTCCCTCTTTGCTTCCATCCTCAGAACCCTGCTTTCTGCCACCTAAGGAAGGGAACTGCAAAAATTTTGAGAGGCGCTGGTATTACAACTTTCAGACTAATTATTGCCAGACCTTTCAGTATGGAGGCTGCAATGCGAATGCCAACAATTTCGTCTCCAGGAAGGATTGCAAGAAAGCCTGCAAAAACTGTGAGACACTTATCTCTGGCAGTCTAACAACCTAGTTCAACTAGAAATAGTACACCTCAGTTATAGGCTCAGGCTTTAAGGTGAAACTACCTTGGAACAAGTCTTCGTTCTGTCACTCACTGGTCATGAGTCAGGTTCCTGTCTTTTACGAGTTCCAGTTTTCTTGTCTGTAAAATGGGGATAATAGTAGTATTGACCTAATAGAGTTGTTTTGTTTAAAAAAAAAAAAAAAAAAGAATAAGAAGGAAGAAAGAAAGAAAGGAAGAAAGAATGCACATGAAATGTTAATAAGTATTGGCCAGTGGGATGTGGGAAGCAAGTGACCCCCTTGGAGACAAATGTTTCCTCTTTGTATCCACCAGCTGAGCATCATTCTGAGGATTCACCAATGCCAAAGCACAAACAGACTTGATCTGAAATCCCTTGAAATCATTGTAGATCACAGGAGGTGGAGAATGGGATTGGGTGAAGGTGAAGGTTATGGATTCACTCCTTAGAATAATGAACATCAACAGTGAAGTTGGGAGTCAGTGTCCTACAGAGATTAGGAACTCCATGACCTGGGTTAAAATCTTACTTTCCCCACTTATTGTAAATATTTTCACCTCCTCGAGTTTCCACTTCCTCATCTCAGTACTTGAGTAATAGCAACACCTCACTGAGTTGTTGGTAGGATTCTATATGATACAGGACACAAAGACTTAACAATCAAGTAGTGTAGGCTCACTAAATGGTAACAATTGAGAAGATACCACTGATCTTCAAAATGCAGCACTGTATGCTTTTACCACACATTGGAAGTGGTGTTAACCTTCTAGGACTCTGTAACATCTGTCATTTTATAAATGAAGAAAGAGAGCAGAAAAGGCAATTCCCCAAGGATGCACAGTGGATAAGAACTAGAGCTGGAATAAGGCCATGGGCTCCATGAATCTGGAAGAACAAGACAACCCTATGGCCTGACTGGATGGAACTAGGACCAAAGCTGCCTTTTGTGGGAGGCTGCTAGGAGTCAGATTTTGGCCCAACCAGAGAAACGGACTTGGACTAAGGTTTATGGAAAATTTAGGTTTAGAGCTGAGGGAGAACGTGGCAATATCTCTGAGTGTCAAACACATAGTTTCTCTGAGTCTAACTTGGTGGAATGGGGGTGGGGTGGGGTGAGGAGAGAAACAAATCCTGAGAGAACAAAAATGTGAATCAGATTAGTACAACAGGAGACCATACATAAGATCCTGAAGAAATGTAGAGCGCACTCAGATGCTAACCAAAATGTTGGGAGTTCAAGTCCACACAGAGGTGACTTGGAGGAAAAGCATGATGATCTCCTGCCAAAAAATCAGCTATTGAAAACCTTATGGAGCACAGTTCTACCCTGACAGGCAGCACAGACTTCCACTAGTCAGAATCAACTTGACAGTAACTGGTACTGGTAATGACTTTGTGACCCCCCAAAGTTATAACTCCAGCTCAAACCTCACTCCCAAATTGGAACTGCTCATGCTATACTTCCATTTGCATCTCTCACAATCTATACTTAACTTAAAAAAACAAAAAAACTGAACCCTTCAACGTTTCTCACCTACTCAGAATCTGTTCTAGCCATGGCTTTCCCCATCTTGGTAGAATAAACTTTAAAATCACTCCTGATTCCTTTCTCAATAAACATCCATTCTACCAGCTGCCCCGTGGGAGAAAGATGAGGCTTTCTGCTCCCATAAAGATTTACAGCCTCAGAAACCCTGTTCAGGGTTGCTATGGGTTGGAACCGACTCAACAACACTTAACAACAAGATAGGAAATAATTTTAGCTCTACTTTGAAAACAGAGCCAGAATCAGATCACCTACAACATCTCAAGAGCTGCTACCCTACTCTGAGGCGCCATCATTCTTACATGAATTACTGAAACAGCCTCCTAACAGATCTCCCTGCTTCTATTCTTGACTACTATGTAGTGAAGTAGGCTACAGAACCAGATTGTAAGGTCGGTGGTTCAAATCCACCAGTTGCTCCTCAGAAAACCCTATAAAGGGTTGTTATGAGTCAGAACCAACTCGATGGCACCTAACAACAGAGATTAAAAAATGAGAATCCTTCCAACTGGACCAATAAACAATATCATGAAAAATGGCAAAGAAATGGAAGTTGTCAAGGACTTCATTCTTCTTGAATCAAAAATCAATGTACATGAAAGCAGCAGTTAGGAAATCAAGCAGCATATTGTATTAGGCAAATCTTCTGCAGACTTGTTTAAAATGTTGAAAAGCTAAGATGTCACTTTGATAACTATGGTGAGCCTGACACAAGCATGGTATTTTTATTAGCCTTATGTGCATGTGAAAGCTCAACAATGAAAAAGGAAGTAAGATGAAGAACTGATACATTCTAATTGTGTGTTGCTGTGATTCTAGAAGCTATGCCACAAGTATTTTAAAGCTATGCCACAAGTATTTTAAATACTAACAGGGTCAGCCACGGTAGACAGGTTTCACCTGAGCTTCCAGATTAAGACAGATGAGAAAGAAGGAGAGATGCATTACTTCCAAATATTTAGTCAAAACGTTGTGAATAGTGGTGCAACCCTGTCAGTACCAGAATATTGAATATTAAAGCATGATGAAGAGCACCAGAATATTGTCAGAGATAGTGTTGGAAGATGAACCCCTAAGATTGGAAGGCATTCAAAATATGACTGGGGAAGAGCTGCCTCCTCAAAGTAGAGTTAACCGTGATGATGTGGAGTAAAGCCCTCGGGACCTTCATTTGCTCATGGGGCACAACTCAAAATGAAAAGAAACAGCTGTAAACATTCATTAATAATCAGAAAACTGGAAATAATCAAAAATGAAATGGAACACATAAGTATCACTATCCTAGGCATTAGTGAACTGAAATGGACTGGTATTAACCATTTTGAATCTGACAATCACATGGTTTACTAAGCCAGGAATGACAAATTGAAGAGGAATGGGGTTGCATTCATCATAAAAAAGAACATATCAAGATTTGTTTTGAAATACAATATTGTCTGTTATGGGATAAAATCCACATGTCTACAAGGAAGACCAGTTAATACCACTATTGTTCAAATTTATGCACCAACCACTAAATTCAGTGATGATGAAATTGAAAAATTCTATTAACTTCTTCAGTCTGAAATTGATCAAACATACATTCAAGATGTATTGATAATTACTGGTGATTAGAATGCAAAGGCTGGAACAAAGAGGAAGGATCAGTAGTTGGAGAATATGGCCTTCATGATAGAAACGATGCTGGAGAGCACATGATAAAATTTTGCAAGACCAATGACTTGCTCATTGCAAATACCTTTATTAAACAGCATAAAAGACACATAAAAATACACAAGGACCTTACCAGATGGAATACACAGAAATCAAATTGACTACATCTGTGGAAAGGTTTGATGGAAAACCTCCATATCATCAACCAAAACAAGGCAGGGGCAGACTGTAGAACAGACTATCAGTTGCTCATATGAAAGTTCAGGCTGAAGTTAAAGAAAATTAAAAACAAGTCCACAAGAGCCAAAATATGACCTTGAGCACATCCCATCTGAATTTAGAGATCATCTGAAAAATAGATTTGATGCATAAGACACTAAAGACCAAAGACCAGAAGAGTCATGGGATGACATCAAGAACATCATAGAGGAAGAAAGAAAAAGGCCATTAAGAAGACAACAAAAAATGCAAAGACCAAAATGGATGTCAGAAAAGACTCTGAAACTTATCCAACATAAAGCAAATGGAAGAAATGAGGAGGTAAAAAAGCTGAATAGAAAATTTCAAAGGTCAGCTCAAGAAGACAAAGTCAACAGATTTTCATGGGCTAAGTGGGATAGAGGTAAATAATGATGTATGCACAACCTTGAAACAACAGGGCTCTGGGATACAGGGATTGAGGCATGGTTGGAATCGGCAAAAGGGAGGAAATAATGTTAAGATGCTTGGCTGTCTTTTGCATCTTGGTTTCCCTGGCATACCATTATAAAATAGACACTTGAGGGGAAGAGAGAAAGGAATAGCCAGAAATATCACCATAGAAAGCTTGTAAGTCCGTCTTCTGCCTATAACTGATTGGAATACCTAAAATGGGGCTACAAGGTGCCCAGTGAAGGAGGCTTCCTATGGAGCCTTACATAAGACCATAGGTGGAATCCTGAACGACATCCAGAATC